AGATGGAGATCAGTACGGAGAAAACAGAGTGCACCCTCTTCACCACCAGCACCCACGAAGCCAAGCGAAAACCAGCCCTCTCACTCAAAGGCTCCCCCATCACCTTCAACTCCAACCCCATCTTACTTGGGGTCACACTTGATCGTACTCTATCCTCCAACGCCCACATCCAAAACCTTGAGCTAAAACCGTCAAGCAGACTTCGACAATTGAAAGCCCTTACAGGCACCACCTGGGGTGCCTCCAGGGAATGCATAAAGCCTATATATTATGCTACTTGTCGGTCTGCTATCGACTATTGTGCCCCTGCCTACATGCCTCTTGCAGAACCCTCCAACCTGCAGAAACTGGAAAGAAAGCAGAATGAAGCAGCAAGAATCATCACAGGCTGCTCAAAGGATACTCGTGTGGACAGCCTCCTCATCGAAGCAGACATTTTACCACTAAGGCATTGAGCTGATGCCTTGACTGCCATCTCATTGGAGGAGTCCATGCGTCTGCCTGCAACGAACCAACGCAAAGCCGCCGCAACAAAATCAGTGCCCACGCGGACAGGCAAGTCGAACTGGAGAAAGCATGCCCAAAACCTCGTAGCCGAAACTGAACTGGATACGTACCCACGTGAGGAGCTGGTTGTTTTACCCCCCACACAACCGTGGAAGGCTGCATCATACAACGTGACTTTTAGCACCGATCTTGTTGTCGACTGCAAGCGTGTTAATGAACCAGCTGTCAGGAAAGCAGTAGCAGAGGCTACAATTCGTTCGCTCCCCCTGCCTGATGTAGAAGTCTGGACTGATGGTTCAGCTAAGCACGGTACTGAGTATGGAGGAAGTGGACTACTGATCAAGACCGGTGATACCGAACTCGACCAACGTGTACCTGCGGGCCGGTATTGTTCAAGCTACAGGGCCGAGCTTGTAGCTTTCGACACAGCGCTTGACATGCTTGTGGCACTACATACAGCAGACAGCCTTCCAAACAGTGTACGCATCCATGTATACACTGATTCTAGATCAGCAGTCATGCGCCTCTCATACGGCCCTACC